CTTCACTGGCCCTCTATTTTTTGCTTTAAACATTTTTGTACTATTTGAATTTTTGCTACAATAATCACTGATTGTCATTAAACAAACTATGTATAAAGCAATTATGCCAATCAAACATTAACTAGAAGTAAAGAGGTTCCAGTTTTGTTTGGATTCCATGGCATAGGAAGCCAGAAATGGGCATTTTCTTTCAAGAAGGAAAAGAAGAGAAAATGAAGATTGCCAATAAAGAGTAGACTTTCCAACTATAAACTCTGAGCAATTCCATTTCATTTGTAGTATGTCAAACCCAAAAGCTAAGAGTAAGGAAACCCTTATTGCTTGCCACTTAATGCAACAATGAATGAATGGAAATCCAAAATCTATGTAAACATTCATTAAAATAAAAAAAAAAGAAATGAATTCCAGGCTTTGCACTTTGCACAGCAGGATTGAGTTACAGTTAACCTATGGGCTTGAGGTCATTCAGTAGCTCCAATAATGTTTTTTAATAAAATTTTTATTTTATACTGGTTTAAAAAAAACACAAAAGACCAAAAACATTTACTAAATGTGTACTGTATCTGGAAAAAAAAATTGTTTCTGCCTCCAGAAAGTATTTGTTGACTGGTGGACTTAGAAAAGTGAACATTTTTCTTCCAAATAGGGTACTAGGTTGTGAATGTAAGTACTACAGATGAAATTTCTAATATGTAGAAAATTTGATATAAAGGAATTGGCAGAGAGATACATCTAGAGGAGATGGCCCTTTTAGCCTCCCAAGTCATAGAACAGAAAGAAACAGAGACAGAGAGAAATGCCTGCCTGTCCCAGGGCAAACATGAACTTGAAGAAACAAAGAGTTTCATGGATGAGACATCAACTCCACTTTCTGTGAAACTGACTGACAGCATGCCTCTCCTGCTAAGAAAGGGAAGAACTTTGTTCCTCATACACAAAAGAAAGCTTCCTGAATTATTTCCCAAGTGGTGTCTGAAATGACAGTCAAATCCAAACTTAACCATTATAGTCCCATCTGTTATTCATATTTTCTTTTAGTCTTCCCCTCCTATTTAACAAAATTAGTTTTTAAAATCTCGTGTCTCAGCTAAGCTAAGACAGAGAGACAACAGTATAAAAACATTTGACAGATATCCAGCTACTTGATCGTCACTACATTCTGTCTAAATATTTTAATTGTGGGTTTGTCTGTTTGTTAGAGAAGACATTTGTCAAGATGTTAGTTATTAAGCCTATCTTGCACACTCATTTATTCAAAACCAGTAATTGAATTATTGTCTACCATATACAGGGCACAACAGGTCATTACATATTGTTATGAAACCCAACAAATTTTATGGTGAGAGGTCATAATGTGAAACAGATCAGTTGAATCAGTATATAAATAGTAGGACATCAAACAGCACAAAATAGATGTTCATGAAATGTTTTCTTCCTGACCTAAAGAAGCTAAAGCATCTTTTAAAGTGCCCGAAAAGGACATTCTTACTGTTGCTGGTGTAGTTATTGTTGTTGTTAAATGCCTTCGAGTCGACTATAACTCATAGCAACTCTATGAACAACCAGTAGGAACCTTGCGCTATCCTATACCATCCTCACAATCTCAAACATGCTCAACTCCATCGTTAGAGATACTGTTTCAGTTCATCGTATTGAGGGTCTTCCTCTCTTTCTCTGACCTTCCACCTTTCCCAGTATAATTTCTTTCTCCAGAGACTGGCCCCTGCTGATAACATGCTGATAAAATATACAAGACAGAATTTCACCATCCTTGCATTTAAAGATTGCACTCTAAGACAGACTTGTGGTTCTTTTGGCAGTCCATGAAATATTCAGTTCTCTTCTCCAGCACCACAATTCAAAGGCATCAATTCTTCTGTTATTCTTATTCATTGTCCAATTTTGAGATGCATACAAAGCAAATAAAAATATCATGGCTTGGATAAGGCACACCATAGTCTTTAAAATTACATTCTTGCTCTTCAGTGCTTTGGAGAGGTCCTTGACAACAGATTTTCCCAATGCAATGTCTTTTGATTTCTTGACTACTGTTACCATGATATTGATTGTGGACCCAAGTAAAATGAAATCACTAACAACTACCATCTTTCTCCATCATGATGTAGCCTATTGGTACAGTGGTAAGGACTTTTGTTTTCTTGACATTAAGATTTAATCTACATTGAAGGTCGTGGTCTTTGATCTTCTGCACTTCAAATCATTTTTACTTTTTGCAAGCAAGGTTGTGCCATCTGCATAAACCAAGTTATTCATGAGTTTCCTCCAATCTAGATACTACCTTCTTCTTCTTATAGTGTTGTTGTTGTTGTACAACAACCCTATGTACAACAGCCCTAAACCCTTTTCTATTCTGTGCCAATCTTATTGTCTCTGACACACCTACCCCATTACCCCAGTCACTGCATCAATCCACCTAATAGAGGGTCTTCCTCTTCTGCACTGTCCCTCCTCCCTCCCCAGCATAATGCCCCTCTCCAAGGACTGGTCCCTCCTTGCAACATGTCCAAAGTATGTCAGATGAAGCTTCAGAATCCTTGTCTCCAAGGAGCAGCCTAATTTACTCCCCTCAAAGATTAACCTGTTCATTTTCTTAGCAGTCCATGGAATATTAAATACTCCTCTCTAGCACCATAGCTCAAAGGCATCAATTCTCCTTCTATCATCCATAGTCATTGTCCAGCTCTCTGATGCATAACAAGTTATTGCAAAGACTATGGCCTGTGTCAAGTGCACCTTAGTCTCTAGATTGACATCATTGCTCTTCAGTACTTTGGAGAGATCTCTAACAGCAGACTTTCCCAACACAATACATTTAGAAGGGGTCGTGGTACTAGGGATATTGTAGCTAATGTTGGATGGATCTTGGCTGAAATCAGGGGATACTAGAGGAATGTCTATCTGTGTTTCATTGATTATGCAAAGGCATTTGACTGTGTGAACCACAACAAACAGTGGCTAACTTTGAGAAGAATGGGAATCCCAGAACACTTGATCATGCTTATGCGAAACCTATACTCAGACCAGGAGACAGTTGTCAGAACAGAGCAAGGGAACACTGTATGGTTCAAAATTGGACAGGTGTATGCCAGGGATTGTCCTATCCCCATACCTTTTCAATCTATGTGCAGAACAGATCATCCAGGAGGCTGGGCTATATGAGGAGAAATGTGGCATCAGGATTGAAGAAAGACTCATCAACAATCTGCATTATGCAGATGACACAACCCTGCTTGCTGAAACTGAGGAGGACCTGAAGCACTTGCTGCAGAAGGTCAAGGACTGCAGCCTTCAATAGGGATTGAAGCTCAATATCAAGAAAACAAAGATTCTCAATACTGGGTCAATTGGCAGCATCATGATGGATGGTGAAGAGATTGAGATTGTAAATATCTTTAGTTTGTCTAGTTCCACAATCAACACCCTTGGCACTAGCAGCCAGGAATTTAGGAGACACATTGTGTTGGGAAAGTCTGCTTCTTACAGTATAGCTTCTCAAATTACTTGCTCAGCATACATATTGAATAGGTTTGGGGAGAGGATACAACCCTGACATACATCTTTCCTTATTTTAAACCAATGTTCCCTTGTTATTTTGGGACAACTACTTTTTAGTCTCGGTACAGATTTTGCATGAGCACAATTAAATCTTCTGGAATTCTTATTCTTCTCAATGTTATTCATAATGCTTTATGATAGTCAAGTATCTTTAAATACTCAATAAAATACAAGTAAACATCATTTTGTTATTCTCTACTTTCAGCCAATACCCCTCTGACACCAGCAATGATATCCCTTGTGTCACTTGCATCTTCTGAATCCAGCCTGAATTTCTGGCAGTTCTCTGTTAATGTACTGTTTCAGCCTTTTTTTTTTATTCACCTTCAGCATAGTTTTATTTGAATATAATAGGAATGATTTGGTAATTTCCATATTCTGTTGGACAACCATTTTTTTTCCAAGAATGGTAACAAATATGGATCTCGTTCAGTCAGCTCTTAATTCACCAGATGTCATAAATTGACCTGTGTTTCCCCTTATGGCATGTCAGTTTGGCTAAAGTATGATTCTCAGTGGCTTGGCAGTTGTATAATTAAGTAATCATCCTCAATGACATGATCTAATATGATCAGTCAATCAATTGTAAGGGGATTCAAATAAGATGCAAAATCCTTTACAAATCACAGATTTTATTCAGTGTAAGGGGATTTCCCGTAGGGTGAGACCTTCAATACCTTTTATCTTACAAGAGATAAACGAGAAGGAAGGACCTACCACCATCAGGAAAAAAGAACTAAGAGTGGAGTGTGCCCTTCAGATTTGAGGTCCCTGTGCTGAGAACCCCCTAGACACAGACTGATATCAAGACACATGGAAACCTCCAATCAATGCTTGACCAACAGATGTTGAAGGGGCTCAAGAACTTCCCCCCAGAGCTAAGATAGAAAAAAAGCCCTTCCCCTAGACCTGGGAACCTGGATTCAGACTTTGATCAACCTAAACTGTGGGAGAATGCATGTATGTTTGTTAAACCCATCCATTTGTGGTATTTCTCTCATGGCAACATTAGATCACTAAGACATGAAGTTGATGAGTTTTGCAAGCATACAAAATCAATTCCCAGAAAAGCTAAACTCAATTTACAAAGAACTGAAAAGTTGGGGTAAAAGAAACCACAAATATGCTTGCCAAGGTAAAGTTCAGAGGTGAGAGTTTTAGAGATGAGTCCAGTTTTAAACTTCTTCCTTCACAGGAAAGCTATTGACAGAATCTCACAGGACTAAAGAGGGATACCAAGAAGCTTAGAGGGTATGAGAGATGCAGGACCAGGACAAAGCTGGGGTGGAGAGTTGGCTTTCTTTCACTTGCAGACTAACTACATAATCATAATCATAAGTCCCTTTCTTAATTCCCCAGAACCTTAATATCCTCATCTATGAAAAGAGTGATAGGATTGGTCCAGAGGTCCCTTGAAGTCCTGCTATGGCAAGTCATGGTTTATTTCCCAGGGACAGCTTCCACTATGACTGTCCAGTCTCTGCATTTAAGAGTTAGTGGAACAAACTAATCTACAGTGGCCCAGAATACAAAATGACAGAATCTAGACTTTAGGCTGCAAATCCTGCAACTCTAAGACTTAAAACAGCCCCCTGCATGCATGAATGGTGATGATAAGAGCTCTGGAGGTAATGAGCTTCCCTTGCTAGTCTCTGGCCCCCAAATCACTTCCCCTTGCACTGCTTTGCCCTTCCCCAGGTAGCCAGGTTTGCAGAATCACATGTAGGAGGTGGGTGGATTCTGGTGCAGGGCATTGGTGTGACAGTCGTCTGCCCTTGGGCACACTCATCCTTGTCTGCAAAAGAGAACCACAGCCTGGATCCGCTGGCCTTGACCCCTCTCCAGCACCCACTTAACTCCTACAAAGCCACAATTCATGGGAGCCCCTATGATGAACCATACTTTTTTTCCAGTCTCCTATTTCATGCACTTGTGCCCACCAGCTTGCAATACTCAACTCAACTCCATCTCCTTCAGAAAGCCTGTTCTGACTCTCAGGTGAAGCGTCCCTCCCTATGGTGCTCTCTTTCCACTCCAGCACGTATCACATGGGGTTGTCACTGTTTGCTGGTTTACCTGCTTTCTCATCTAGATAGTTTCTTGCCAACTAACAGAGTCTGGGTATGCCATGCCAACCACAAGGCCTGGCACAGGAATAAGCAACAGACAATGAAAGAAGAACCAGGTTTGCAAAAAGGTTTTGAAAACCAGACAGCTGTTTGTCAGCTTTCTCCAGCCGTGAGTGCAAGGTAACATTCTCTCTGGTTCTGAGCTGACACAGACCTGAGCCTTCAGATTGTGCGAGGTGAGGTCTCCTTCACAGCCCCCACTCACTGCTGCCCCACCACTCTTAACCTGGAAAGCGGCTTTGGCAGAAATATCTCCGGTTGACAGCACTCCAAGATGTTAATTAAAAACAAGAGTTTTGAAAGTCCAATTCCCGCAAAACGTCCTGAGTACTTATCTCCAGCTGCCAAAACCCCAGGCTTGTTGATAAAAGGGCCACTTAAGGGTAGTTAGAGATCTCAGCCCTATCCCACATACAGAAAAGGCGAAGTTTGCGGCCCCAAAAGAAATCGTCAAAACTCCTTGGCCCCACAGTTAACTCATCAGTTTCCCCATTTACACAGTAAGAAGTTGAAACCCACATGGCTGCGTCTGGAGCAACTGCTAGTCACGTTCTCCGGGACCCGGGGCTGCAAGAACTGTCATTAGCCTGGGTCCGAGGCTCGGCCGCGGGAACGCAGGCCCTGGGCCTCCGGTGCGAGCGGTGGTGGCGCCTTGGCCCGGCCAGCGAACGGGGGCCCCGAGGGAGTCGAACCCACCCCGGAGCTCTCGCCCCGGCCGAGGGTTGCCCGTCCCGGGACGACCTCGAGAGGGGACGGAGCGCAGCCCTTGCCGGCGCCTGCCCCGCG